ACCCCGCACGCGCCGCGGCCGGGGGGTCGCGCCCCGCGGCCGCCTGCGGCGCCAGCCGCGCCACAGCGCCGCCCGCGCCGCGGCGCACGGCGCGCCGCGCTGCTGCCCCCCAAGGCGCCGCGCCCAAGACTCCTGGTCCCTCACCTCTAGATCCTGCCAGGCCCGCGTGAAGATCGCGTCAGCCAGCGCCCGCGTCGCCTCCGCGCTGAGCGCGACAGGGCCCAGCAGCAGCACCCGCAGCCCCCCCAGCCGCGCCGCCGCGGCCACGAGCGCCGCGCCGCTGGAGGAGGGCTCCGGCGAGAGGCTGTCCACCTCAAGGCACGTCAGCGCGGAGAGGGCGGGCAGGCTCTCGGCCAGGCCCTCGAGGGCGGCGGACGTGCACACGCCGACGCGCTGCAGCGAGAGCCCGGCGAGCCGCGGCAGCGCCGCGGCGGCGTGCGCGGCGGCCGCGAGGCAGGGGTCGCCGTGGCCGGTGATGCGGAGGTGGTGGAGGGTGGGGTAGTGGTCGGAAGCCGCCAACAGGTTGTCCACTTGGTCGCTCGGCACGTTGAGCCCCAGAACGTGCGCGTCGACGACGCGCCGCGACGCGCGGCTCACGAGTCGCACGCTCCTGCGTGATACCGGATCGGTTGAGAGTATCTTGATGCAGGACTCCGTGACGGTTAGTGGCAGGGGGCTGCGTGCCGAGAAAGGCCAAAGTTCCGAGACGGCAGAGGCCATCGCGATAAGCGGTGAAGTCCTGATGTGGCGTTTTGACCGGAATGAAGAAATTCTCAATTGTAATGTGAGCACACAAGAAAGAGAAATTGCAAACCGCGGTGGATGATGACAAAGCACACGTCATGATAATATGTTGCCCCAAGGAGGCCCGTCCGCCTTACCCTGTCATGGCATGCAGAATAAAGTCTTTATAAACTCTACCATCCAAGTGCCAATGCTTTTACTCTTACAGGCACTGCATGCAGGAACGCCGGCCGTGGCGACATGGGCAGTGTGCTATGTAAAGATGGTCTGGTCCTATGACATCTGCACAAGCCAGCTCAGCCCGCACCTGCCGCCTCATGGGCAGGTGCAGCGAGGATGCAACGGTCAACATGCCCGATGCCTGTCGGCGGCTCGCTCCCAATCAAAGCCCTCGATATACCAAAGGTGCGAGGGCGCCGCGCTTTTTCGTCGCCAAGCACACTGTGTGTCCCATGGAGCCACCATCCCCTCTGCATCATTGCTTGGCTTATAGGGATGCCATGCAGAAAAAAATATTGTCAGAGCAGGACAGATATTCAAACAGTATAACAGGCCAGAAACGGGCATACCTGAGCACCCACGGTGGAGGCGTTTTCGTTACACCCGGTGCGGAACGAGCGTGCACGAACTATGCTGCTTGGCAGGGGCACCAATCATGCTGCTTGGCCTGCGCCCTGCTCGGTCTGCGCTGCATGGGCACACGGTTCGGTTGCACCGGCAAACCCAGGTGGTGCAAACATAGGGGCGGG